CAATCAAGACATTAATTGAGAACAATCAATGTTATACCACACAGGAGATAGCCAGCATACTCAAAATATTCAAATCAATAAAGTTATTGGTGAAGATGAAAAATGTATCTTTTATTTTATGGAAAAAGCCATATAGTCTTTGTGGCCAACACAATACAAATACCTGAGCCCAATTCCCAGAGCTCCTCCCTAGTCCTTTGGTCTGTGGGTGAGGACAAAACATTTACTAGAGTAGGAAAAAAACAAAAAATCATGGCATCTTATCAGCCTGAACTGTTTCTCCAGCAAAAAGAACAACAACCACTAAAGTGGTTTGGCAGGCTGGATGAGAGGCAAGGGGACAACTGATCTGGTCCTCTGGGTGACTAGCTCTTCTCTGGGGATCACCAGAAGCACTGTCAAAGGAAAGAAGCTAGAAATCCATACTCCTGGGAGGACAGCCTTTGGGGGTTTTGGGATATGCGGCTGGCAGACACAACAACTGGAACCACGGCTTTGTTCTTATAAAGCAGCAATCCCCGTACCCTCCCCGCTTTCCAAAAGGCAACAAGTAGTAGTACTCTTGCAGTAGCAGAAGGCAAATGCCCGAGTTTGAACTCCCTGAATTGAACTACAGGTCAGAAAAAGATCTTGTTTTACACCTTTGTTTTTCACAGGAAAAGGAGAGTGCAAGAGAAGTCCTTCAGTAGTAGAACTTTTGCCTTGGAACCAAAGATCTGAGCCTCGGGGCCCACAACCTTGCCCCTTACACAGAGCTTCTCCCACCCTAATATCCCATGAGTGCAATCTATGTGCCTTCCTCCAAAGTCACTCACTGTTATTACATCATATCCAAGTAGGAATAAAGGGACAAAAACTGTCACCACCCTTCTTAAAGGATGACTCACATATTTGGTGATCAGTGAAAATCAGTACAATGGTCAGGAAACCAACCAGTTTATACTACCTTCTACCAAGTGTAGCGTAGAAACTTGTCTCACGAATGTTCCTGGTAGGGAGGGGGAGTAAAAGAACTAGGTAGGGCATCGTGCCAGTGCTAAACAACTTTGTCACCAAAACAGTACAAAAAGCACAACTTTCCCACCCTCTGCAACTAGAGTACCAATGAAAATTAGCATATTAAATGCTCTGAGGAGTCTCATGGTAAGATAAAGAACATGGGCTATGGAACCACCACAACTAATAATTCACTTGCTTTACAACTGCGCTGCCCAACAGGATAGTAAGTACTCTAGCTACCCGTGGTTACTGAGCAGCTGAAATGGGGCTAGTCCAAACTGAGAAAGGCTGTAAGTGAAAAACACATTCTGGATTTCGAAGGCTTAGTGTGAAAAAAAAAACTGTAAAAATACCTCCACTTTTTATATTGATGACATAATGAAATCACTGGATTTTGATTATATACTAAAATGACAATATTCTGGATGTATGAAATTAAAATTAATTTCATCTGTTCTTCATGGCTACTAAGATATTTAAAATCACATATGTGACTCACATTTTATTTCTACTGGATAGTGCTTCTTTAGAAAATGCTAGGCTAAAGCACAAGCTTAAAAACCTCAGATACATTTTGTTACTGTGGTATTGGCGCCACGTTTGTTTTTCTCCTGAAAGAGAGGTACTTGGGACAGATAAAAACAGGTGAAAAAAGCATCTAGACATTCTGACCAGGATGTATATATAAGATAGTCCACCTAGCAATATGTTAACCCAAAGGTATCAAGGAATGAAGAATATATTTCCTAGAAAAACTGAACATCTTCCCCTTTTTGTCTACTATGCCTTAGATCTTTACATAACGATAGAGAACTGGTGCCCTTTGCCTTTTGTTCCATGACTCTAGCTGTCAAGTTTTTCCTAAATACCACACTAAAGGTTGAATACATCTGGAGTTCAGTGACTGCAATCATTCTGTGCAGCGTGTACAGAGGGAGACAAGTTCTCTCAGGCACTGCCCAGGAGGGTGCTGCTGAAGGCCCACTGGGTTACATACATATTGTTCTATAGTAGATTCCACTCTCTTTCACTCGCACTGTGACTTTGGGTGACCACTTCACCCATCTCCTGTGGGAGGGCAATAGGTATGGAATGTCTCGAGTGCCTTCAGAAGTATGCAGCACAGGAGCAGAATATACTACCCCTGTCAACTCATGAAAAAAAATTGGTGAAACCTTACGAGAGAACTAGTTGTGTGACTGAACAAGTAACCTGCTTTGCATTTAGCTTCCTCAGTTCTAAAATAGGGATAGCAATGCTCATCTTACAAAGGAATCTGAGGATCAAACAAAGGAAAGCTGAATGCCTAGCATGTGGCTGACACTAAGCAAACACAATTTCCCTCAGGCTCCTCTCTGCTCTGTGGGCTTCAGTCATCTTTGCCTTAAAGTTAGGCACTGGACCTAAAGGTCTAGTCCTTTCTCAATTTAAAACTGAGGGATTAAGCAGTACAAATTGGTAGTTGCGGAATAGCCACAGAGATGTAGATCACAACATAGAGAATACAGTCAATAACATCGAGATAAATAGGTATGGGGCCAGGCAGGTACTCGAAGCAGTGAGAGGGGCCACTCTGTAAACTTTATGATAAAGTATATGATTTACCAACCACTTTGCTGTACATATGAAACTAATACAGAATATTAAATGTAAACTATAGTTGAAAAATAAATTTAAAAAATAAAAAATAATCACATTAAGAGGCTATCTGTATGGGCAGTTGTTATACAGCAAATATAAGTGCTCACAAGATTTGTCACCCCATGATAAGAAGTGAGTTTTCCCCTTTGTGGATTTTTATCCTTAGAAGTAGCAGTTCAGTAATATTGTTTCCGCTTAAAGGGGCTGTTGTATCCAACTTCCTGGCATCAGAAAGATAGCAAATTGGGAACACCGGCACGTGAGTGCCACTGAAGGCTTTCCCAAGGTCCCCAGGAATCCCTCCTGCTCTAGCAGTGACTGTCCTCCGTGGGAATGGCACCACTGTGATGTATCCTAGCCTTTTATTATTGAGGCCCCATTCCTGTGCCTCACCCACTTCAGGTCCTCAAATAAAAGCATCTGCTACCTTTAAAAATGGATTCCTCTCCTTCCGATCTGGCACCTCAACCTACAGGAAACATGATGTCTTCTATATCCTCAGACTAGAGGTCTCTCTCCTTTCTCCATTCTGTACAAAGTTTCTATATCCGATCATTCTGCCAGCCCCACAGAGGGGCTCAAGGGAGCTCTGAGTAGCTGAAACTACTGTTAAAAATGCCTAACGCTGCCAAAGTAGGGTTGGGGCTATATACTCTTGGACTAAATAAATACTCAATAAACAGACATATTTGGAATACCAAAGTTTTTGGATGGACTTCAAATGGATCACAGGCAATAGGAAACCTACAGTCATTGACTCTTTAGGCCTGAGCAAGTCAGAAGACATCATTATTTCTAAGTGTCTATATAAATGAACAAATCTATTACCAAGTCATCTACCTCAGTGCTCAGGGGCTATGGGGCTCAATGAGGTCAGAAGTCTGCATCCCCCAGATTCCCGATCTGTGCCCTAAAGCACATGGGGGAGATACTGAACCTCTTAGCTCTCAAAACAGCTGGGCAGCCAGATGCCCTGGGTCTGACCCCTTCAGTCAACAAGTTGCCACTACTCTCCAGGCCCCAAATCCTCTTCTAGTCAAACCCCAATTTACGGGCATTAGGATCTAAGAGCCCAAGACTACCAGAGACTGAATGAAGAAGCTATCACAGGGTCTTCCCTATGCTTCCCAAACAAAAGTGACCAGCTTCTCCTTTGACCCCAGAGTGCGCCCTGGATGCCCTATCATAGCACAGATCCAACTGCATCACATTAGTTTATATATTTCCTCCACCTCTGGGTTCCTTGCACCCCCAGGGCCTATTGCATAATGCTCAATGTTGGCTACTGGACTGCAGGCATACTTCTCAAACTAGGTGCATTGTGCGCAGAGATATAGTGCAAAGCCAGGAGAAAACAAGATGCATCTTCCTAGAGTTGAAGCTTAAAACATTTTCTTACTAAGACATTGTAAGAGAAAGTAAAATCAACAGGGAATTTTAGTGAAATAAAGTAGTAGTGTTGTCGGAGGCAGGCAGCTTCTCAGGGCTCTGCCCCAGACTGCAGGGTGTCCAAGTTCCCTGTCCTTTCTGCCACAGGTCCCTGCCAAAGCTGAGAAATCCAAAGAGCTCTGGACGTGTACATGTGCCCTACTTCTTGAGACTGAAAACAATCTGTCAGGCAGGGGGTCAAAAATCACCCATGCAACTTTCTAGGTGAAAAAAAAAAAAAAAGAATCAAAACACAGGCTAATCTTGGCCAGGAAACTCAAAAATGCTGAAGACAGGAAAAGAAGCTCTAGTCAATTACAGGCCCAGGACATCACACGGCTAGGCTTGTAAAAAACAAAGAACAAAAAAACTTGCTTTTTAAAAGCCTAAAATAACGTACCACAGCTTGTTTAGGTCCAGAGACACTTTGTTCATTTCCTGGAATGGATGCCAACAAGAAACTCTCATTTCTCATCTTTACTCTTCTTGCTTGGCTGCCTCAGCAGTAAACCGTTAATGGGCTCTCGATAAACAGTAATCAGAACACCTTTCTTACAGGAAGCCTCTTGCGCACATTTGAGGCCTCTCAAGGGTTAGCACTCACGCGGGTGTGCAAACACCCTCTCCACCTTCCTCCAGAAGAGGGGCTTCCGCACTCCACTGAGCACTCCAACGGCCCAGAATTTTCTGAACTTTTCTCCATCCCCAGCCTTCAAAACTCTACTTGGCCAATCCTGCCCCAAACAAGGAGCGGACGGGCAGGACAAAACATTTTGAGAGGGAAGCAGGATTGAAGAACCGGCTCTTTCTTCCTATAAGTGCCTTCAGGGGCAGCGCGGAAGGAACCTGCCGGGACTCTGGGCGGCAGGGCAGACAAAAAGGCAGACAGACACACACACACCCGTAGGCCTGAAGTCCCGGTCCGCACTCACCTTGGCCGATGTCTCTCCGAACAGCGGTCTGTTGTCCAGCCCACTGGTGCCGTAGGTCCTGGTAGAAAAGTCCTCCATTTTGGGGTTTCTTCACACTCCCCAAAGTCACTCAAAACAAGCCAGCATTCCCTCCCGAAGTGCCAGGTCCGGGGCTCCCCACGCACCGGTCACCGGGCACACATAGCCGAACCCCAGGTACGTCCCGGACGTCCCGGCGGTGGCTGGCGCTCAGACCCGGGGGAACAGACGGCTCCGCCCAAGCCCCACTCTTCTCCTCATCTTGAGTAGCTGCCGAAGGAAGTGAAAGGCAACACCTTTGGCCAACTCTCTGCAGGACGTCCCTGCCCGGGCAGCTCCCACTTCCCCAAATCTCGGCCTCCACCCGCAGCTCGCTGGCTGCCGCACGGTCCGCAGGGCACAGAAGCTCGCGGAGCGAGTCAGCTTCCCTTCGGCCCAGGCCACACGTGATCCCCACCCCACCCTACCCCCAGCCCCGGCAGGCACGCAGACCGCCAGGCTCAGGGGGGAAAAGTTTTCAAGGAAGAATTCACTGTGAGCGCCTCTTCACCACCCCACCCCCAATGCCCCAGTGGCGGGAGAAGAGAAGTTACTAGCGGGAGCAGACCCTACAGCTCCGCGGACGCCTCCCGCAGCGCTGCGGCTGTAAAGCCAGCAACTTGGATCCCCCCTCATTTGTTGCATCTACCCGCGGGCTGGCGGGCCTTCGGCAACGCGGTCCTGCGCTCTCTGCACGAGCTGCTGCCCGAGCGGGCAGAGGAGACCATCCCACCTGAGCCCAGCACAAACTGGCCACCCCACGGGGAAACCCCGCGCCCACAGGCCAAACCTGGGTGTCCCCCGCCGCCCGTGCGCTAAGGAGTCCTGGCTGCGCTGGGGATCGCCGGGGTCCTGGGTCCACACCCGCGCCGAAATCGGTACCGAGGCTTGGGGGTACAGGCAAGAAAGAGATCTTCCCGCTGGCAGGGAGCGGGCGCAGGTCCAGGCTCCCAGCCGCTCGGATGCTCCAGCCCGGCCCCGCGGCCACTGTCGCAAACCTACTCGGCCCGCCCAGACCACGTCAGGGCCGAGGCTGCCAATCCCACCTGCCCAGGCGACGCATTGGCTGCGGTGCTTTATTTCTAGAGGTGCCAGCTTATTCCCAGTGGAACTGGCTCCCCAGCTGCACGTTTCTCAGCCTTTTAGTAATTTGCGTCTGCAAGAGCCACGTGAGCAGAGAACATTTCTGAAGATAGCTTCGCGTTTGGTTGAAAGCATCTTATAAACATGCAGCCTGTGTTAACCACCTCCGTCTTTGCACAATTGGACAGAATGGAGTCATTGATCAATTTGATTGAGGATATGGTTTTCTTAGTACGCCTGTGATTGGGATCCTATGTCGTTTACAGAAACAGTCATGAGTGCTAGGTGCTTCTTCGACTTGTCCATTCAATCCTGCTAGTGCTGGTGTTGACCAAGCATATTTACAGCCCCATGGAACGCTTGTCAATCTCTGAATCTCAGAGCCCAGATAACTGAAGGTGGACAGGCCTCACAGGCAATACAGCGTTACTCTGCATTTGGGGCTATTTATAAGTATATGAAACAAACACAGCCAGGCTAGTTTCCCTGGACACGTCTGCTCCTAGATTGAGGAGGACTCTAACAATGTTTGTATGCAGGGAGAGCCCGTGTTTCACACGTGTAGCTACAGAACTCTTAAGAGTCCAAGTAAAGATTCCAGTGACCCCTTAACAGTTTAGGACAAAGGATGGACTAAAAACCACAAAACTATAGATTTGGAATTGGTAAAACTGATTAGAATCAGGTATGGTGCATATCTGATCTACCAGATATATTTTATAAATGATCTCTTTGTTCGGGACTTTTTGATACGTAAGGAATTTTTACCCATTTACCGATTTCTACTAGAAAGTTGATTGGCTCAACAAATAGCTTTTCTTACTCATGTTCAGCCATATTCATTGAACAAATACTTTTGAGAACGAATACCTTTAAAAACCTGTATCAAACAATCACCAGACAGGGTAATACAGCGATCAAGACATAGGCGAGGTAATAGTGTGGAGGCTGGAGGAGGCAACTGATTACAGTCTGGAGAAAGGAACAGGCACAACATCTAAGAGCACAAGCTTTGAAGCTGACTGTGTACCATATTTTGCTGTGTATAATGCGCACTTTTTGCCCCAATTTTTGAGGGAAAAATAAGGATGCGCATTATACATGGGTGTTAACTAATTCTATATATAAATGTTTTTAATTCTTTTATTTATGTTTCGGCATTAAAAGTGTAACTCTAGAAAAGCAATAATGATATCCATATGCAAAATAATACCCTCAAATACAATAATCTGTTTTGTTTTTAAATATAAATAAATGATTGAATTTAAAAATTAAAACATAAGACTTTTTTCCTGAAAGTTTGGGCCAAAAAGTTGGGTGCGCATTATACACAGCAAAATGCATGTGTCCTCAAACCTCAATGCCACAAGCTATGTGAACTTGGGTGAGTTATCTAAACTCTTTTGAGCTTCTTATAATAAAAAGTGAAGATTGATAACGATAAATGTAACTAGAATATCTAACTTCAACTGGTTTTAAATAAATATGTATGTATTTAATAGGGAATATATGGCACCTGGCAAATAAGCATCCAAATGGTGGTTGTCATAAATGGTGATGAGTGAGTGCTACGATTTGGACATTATGGGATGATATAGGTGTATTTGGGAGGGCATCCATGTCCTCAGGTGGCAGGGGATGCTTCCTGGAGGATCCTTGTAAATCAAGAACCACCCCACAACACACACACACACACACAAAAGACTGTGATTTAGTCAAGGTGAGGAGGAGCATCAAGAAGGCTGGCCAGAGAGGCCAGATGTTAGTGTCAGGCGTATTTAATCTGAAAGGTTGTGTCAGGGATAATGACCTTCTCACTCTAAAGCTGCCTAGTCTCTTGTCTCATATCAATGTTGTGCCTCTGCTCCATTCTTTTTCCTAAGAACCAACTTGATCATGATTACCGCTCCCTAAAACTTCAACTTACATAAGGGTTTAGCTTGTTTGGGGTGATAAACTCAAGGAAAATGGATCTTGTAGCTCTACTGCCCACCACTGCTTTGGAGGTTCCATTGCTATTTTTTAGTTCAGATTCTCATGAAAAATGTTGATTGGCTAAGTCCAGATTATGGATTGGTTTCCACTTGTATCAGTGTCTCCTCCCCCAACCTGTCCAGATTGGAGCAGATAGAACATATCTCTTTTAAGGTTCACCCCCTTCACCAGAATATGGTAGAGGACATTTCAATAAAGAACAGAGTATGGATAGAAGTCAATGATAGAGTTATCCAGTGTGTTGCCACTCAAAGTGTGGTTCCCAGACCACTGAATTGTCATCACCTGGTAACTTGTTAGAAATGCAGAGCTTCAGTCCTCACCCCAGATCTGCTGAGTCATAACTTGAATTTTAGTAAGATCCCCAGGAGATTTGTGAGCACCTTGAAGTTTGAAAAGCACTTCTTTTATACATCTCAGTTTTTAAAAATTGGGCCACAGTCCATACAGATGACTCTCCTAAATAGTATAGTTCCTCTTTTTTCCCCTTATTGTGCTTCAGCCACACATTACAATGCAACATTCTGGACTTTGTCATCGTCAAGAATTGTACCATGTTGCAAATAAATCCAGGGAGACCATTTGGTTTGCTTTGTCCTCCAGTCCTTCCCATCTTCATTCTCTCTCTCTCTCTCTCTCTCTCTCCCACACACACACACTCTCACTCTCCCCTTCCACTCTCACTCTCATCAGTCCTTTGGCAACTTCAGTGTCTCTGATCCTTTGGTAGCTCGACTTTCTCTCTATGGATCTACTCTCCTGTTTTCACTTTCTTCCAACTTAGATTCTGTGTCCCATCACAGCAATTGCTTTTTTTTTTAAATCATCTCCTAATGACATTTTCTCACTGATTTAAGAGAAAGAAGAAGGAAGAGAGAGATACATCAATGTGAGAGAGAAGAATCAATTGGTTGCCTCCCACAAGCACTCAGACTGGGGATCAAACCTGCAACCTAGGTATGTGGCCTGACCAGGAATGGAACCCACAACTTTTCAGTCACGGGACGACACTCCGATCACTGAACCACATCAGGCAAGGCTGCAGTTGCTTAAAAAAAGAGTATGTATATATATCTCCATATCCTGTTTCCTTGTTTTATTTATTTTATCACACCTGTGCAGAAAGTCCCCTGAGATATTAATCTGCCTGCCTTCTCAACATCTGTGACCAGGTGTCTAGGGCAGATGGAGGGAAAAAATCATTAAGGCTCCTGATTAGAGTAATTTTAAATTCTGGGCAGCCAACCTTAACTGTGCCCTTAAAACCAGTTGGAAATCCTGTGTTGCCTGGGCAACACTCCCTTACCCTCAGCAGGTGACTCAGTCACCTACTTCACAGGGAAGAAACCAAAGCCATCAGATGGGAATTCCCTCACCACTCGCCACTGCCCACCCGCCCCCCCAACCCAAGCAAACCTACACATTCATCTGTACCACCCTCTTCCATCTCTCCTTCCCTTCAATTGGAATGGGAAAAATGCCAGTCCATCTCTCACATCTTATATCCCATTGCATCGCATAATCACAGGGGTCTCATTATTATGATGATACTTTTTCTATAAAAAGCATTTAAACATGCTCAGTTTCAACCATGTTTTTTTAAAAAGTAAAAAACTTTGATTAAGCTCATGTCTTCCTCTGGCTACCACACTCTCCTTCTCCATGCCCTCTGTGGAACTCTTGGTTGTCTAAATAGCCATCTTTCTCCTCCCCTTCTTCCTTGAAAGCAGAGCCTACCTCCCAATATAAAGGGAAATAATGCCAGATGTTCACTTGCTGAAACTCTCTTGTAGCTGGTGGAGAGAGCTGTGAGTGTTAAAGCCAAGGCGTCATTAGGGCATGTCTGCTGGGAGCTTTCAGGGAGGTTTGCTCCCTAATAAAAAGGAGAGAAGCACATGAGGAGAGCTATCCCTCTTGACCTTGTTCGTGTGAGGACAGGAGGACAGGATATTTGGAGATGCTTTTACTGTCTTATGACCATGAAGGGGTGGCCGGTGGTATCCCCAGAGAAGCCAACTAGAGTCTAAACCTGTGAACCACCCACCTGGGCTGCTCCTTGTGTGTGTGTGTGTGTGTGTGTGTGTGTGTATGGTGTGTGTGTGTGTGTGTCTGTGTTTTGAATGGGAGAGTCGTTATTATATAAGTCACTTTTATTTGGGTATTCCCATGTTTACAGCCAAAAAGACATTGATATATTTTTACAGCCAAAATTTCTATGAAAAGGTCCATATAGATTCTATCCACTTTCTTTCCTATCAGACGTGTTTTCAATCACTGAAATCTGGTTTACCCAACACCACACAGCTCTACCATGTTCTCCCATGAGGGTCGGTGAGGATTTATAGCTGAATCCATTGAACGTTTATTCAGACTTTCTCCTGCATGGCCTCTCGGTAGTACTCAGTATTTTAAAATCCTGGGAAAAGCTTTGCTGGAGCTCCGCTGCTCTCCCTCTGCACATGTCTTCACTGTTACCTCCCTGGGCTCTGTCCTTAGCCTTTTTCCCTCCTCACTGCATGCTCGGCCAGAGCCAGCTCCTCTGCCTCCGTGACTTCCATCTATACCTCTCTGTCTGTGATTTTCAACCTCCTACATCTCATGGCACACAGAAATTCTGTGCACACCAAAAAATATGTTATTTTTGCTGATCTGACCAAAAAGATAGGTATAGTTTTGATTCATTCACACCAGATGGCTACTGTTGGCTGGCTGTTGTCATTTTTTAATATGACAATCGAAGGGAAAAGAGGTCAGTGCCCCTGATTAAATAACTGGGTATTGCATGTTTTAAATATTCTGTGGCACAGTGGTTGAAAATCGCTGCTCTCTGCTAATGACTCCCAAACCTATGTGAATAGACGTCTACAAGCTGGCATGAGGCATGTAACTTATGAAGAAGCCGCTTAGAAGTTAAATAACTCATTCATTTTCAGTAGGATTTAACTGTTTTTCTCCTCTTTTGTCATCTCTGTAGTAAAGCCATCATAGAGAACAGTACTCTCAGTTCTGGCTGGATATTAAAATACTTGGGGAGATTTTTTAATACCCTAATGCCTGGGGCCACAACCCAGAACAATTATATCAAAATCTCTGAGATGAGACTCAGGCAGCAGTATTTTTTTTAAAGCTCCTCACACGATTCTGGTGCTCAGCCAAGCAGAGAACCCTGGTTCAGGGGAGGGTACTAAGCTATAAATCTGGGCCCAGGGTTTGTGGATCCTCAGTCCATACTCTGATGAGTGAATACCAAAGACTTTGGAATGGGCAGAACCTGGTTTGAATCCTGGTTTACCCCTCACTAGGATGCATGGTTTTGAGCAACTTACTTTGCCCCCCTGAGCCCCAGTTTTCACTTGTGAAATGAGCAAAACAATACTTGGCCTATAGTGTTTCATGGGAATTAAATAAAATAATATATGTTAAACGCCTGACACATAGTTAACACTGTAAATCCTGCACATTGTGAATCTACTAAAATGAAGACTGTAGCGAAATGGAAAAATAAAACATGACTTAATATTAAAAGGAAAAAACTAAATATAAAGCCCAAACTGGAAGGGAACATGTAAAATCTAAGAATAGGATTTTTAATATCAATCTTTCTTTTCCTGAATGGTCTCAAAGTTCCAGGCCTTTGCAAAGAGTTAGGAAAACTGACAATAATAATGCATTTGTGCCTCTTTCTTTTCCTTTTTTTCCCCTTACTATATGCTCAGTAGCAACAGTGGCATCATGTGATACTTCAATAGCCAAGGGACTGAAACTAGAGGGCAGGAGTGGGTGGGGAGAGAGCCGGCATTCAAAGGCAGCCCAGGGAGTGGGAACGAGGGAAAAATCAATCCAATACCCATCACTGAGGTAGGTTACAGTAGGAATGAAGTAATTATCCACATGCAGCCTTCACTGGTATACAGAATTACATCAAGTAGCTGGATTTAGGAAGGGTCACGGAGCAGAATTTTGAAGAAATGTGCTTCTCCCTGGTGCCAGCACACGAGGATGAGAAGTGAGCATACCAGGTAATCTGTGCCCGAGTCTTAAGGAAGTGTGATGTCTCTCAAAGGATGGGGGTGGGAGAAGCACACATCTCACAATTCTGTTTTGAGCATGACCCTCACAGCCTCACGCAGCAGACTCAAGAAAAAAGTCGGGGGCAGAGGGAAGCAAGGCAAGATGGAATGAAGGGGGCAGTACCAAAGAAAAGCAACCGAAGAACAAGAAGGGAGCCGGGCCAGTTTGGTCAGTTGGTTGGAGCATTGTCCTGTAACTGAAGGGCACATACCTGGGTTGCAGGCTCAATTCCAGGTCCAGGTGCATACAGGAGGCAACAAACTTGTGTTTCTCTCTCCCATCGATGTTTGTGTCTATCCCTTCCTCCTGCACTTCCTATCTCTCTCTAAAAGCAATGAAAAAAAATGTCCTTGGGTAAAGATAGAAAAAGAAGGAGGTGGGGGGGGGAGGGGAGAGAGGAGAGGAGGGGGGAGAGGGGAGGAGCGGGGAAGAGGAGGAAAAGGAAGAAGAAGGAAGAAGAAGGTATTTTCCTACAAGATGGGCCAGATGGGAAAATTGGGTTCACAAATACAAGAAATTTAGGCATTGAAACAGATTGGATACAGTCTGAATGTTCTCCCAAGAGTAGATATGATCTGTGGGCTTCCTGGCAATTTTTTTTAATAGAAAGATGAGATTTCTGCACACTCCCTGCAAATTGGAGCAGGTGTTACAAAAGAAACAGCTAAGTAATTGAGGCTCTCTGGTCTGGTCTGAGCTTAGGAAAGTCAGCGTGGCACCAGTATCCTCAGCTGTAAAAGGAAAGACTATATTCTATCCTGCCAGTTCTAAAATGCATATAAACTGTGAGAACGAATAGAGGATCTCTTTTTAAATCTTTTTTATTTTGAAATACTTTCAGATTTATAGAAAAGTTGTAGAGATAGTACAGAGTGTCAATATATATACCCTTCACCCAGATGTTCCTAATGTTAACATCTACACAGCTATGGGACATTTATCAAACCTTAGGAATGAACATTGTTACACTATTAACTAAACTGCATACTTTATTTTAAATAAGGCTGACATGTAATACAGAACTGTGACCTTGAGCAAATCTCAGAGGCTCAATTTTATATGCACAAAAAAAAAAAAAATAGGGAAAAAAATTCCTCCTCGGAGTTGTTGTGAGAATTAAATGAGATATGGCGGGTGAAATTGATTTTTATATTCTGAAGTGTTAAGCATTAGAATGAGGCACAACTGATAAACAGTAATTTTTAGGTGTTTTAATAATAGACTTAGTATTGATACTAAAATGAATAAAATCTGAACCAGTGGTCTGTTGCACACAGCTGAAACGCTGTTTTCAATTTGAAAGTTCAAAATTTGCACAGATAAACATATATACCAATTTAAGCTAATCCTCTCAAATAGAAGCAAAGAGATTTTTGAGCAGGTAAACAATTTACTGAAGTTCCCAAAATAAACTCTGATTTTGTTTTCGTTTTTAATCCTCACCTGAGGACATACTTACTAATTTTTAGAGAGATGGAGGGAAACATCAATGTGAAAGGGAAATATCAATCAGCTGCCCCTCGTACACGCCCCAGCCCGGGACGAACCTGCAACTCAGGCATGTGCCCCAACCAGGAATGGAACCTGCACCCTTTCTGTTTATGGGACAACACTCCAACCAACTGAGCCACACCAGCTGGGGCAACTTATGGGTTTTAAACCTTGTGTGTTCATATTCTTATTATCTAATTAATTTCTTGAATTCTAAATATGAAAATAAAGATTCAAGGATAAGGTAGAAAATTTTTTAGGTTTTAAACCACAATACATTTCTTAAGCAAGCTTAGGAAAAAGTGATGGAAATGACATCTGTTATTTGTTGTTGTTGTTGTTGTTGTTGTTGTTGTTACCATTTCATTCAAGATGTAGAATATTCCTGAGAACGGTTTTGAGTAAATTGTTTAAAATCCAGGCATTTAGCTTGAGGAGGGGTATGTACTAAGCCTTGGCCTGTCACTTACTGTGTCACATTCAGGTACTCATTCAGCACTAAGAGTTTCCATTGTCACATTGTGGAATGAGAATGACAGAATAGGTAGATAGCTTTTTAAAGATCCCTGGCCCTAAAATAATGTGACTCTTCAGCCATAAGAGAGGGAGGCCTAAAGTTAAAGGGGAAAAAGAAAAATATAAATGCAAATGTAGTTCACAGAAACAGTGTAGTTATATTAGCTTTTGATATAGAAACATTGGATATTTTGGCTTTGGGGAGAGGGTAAGATCTTTTTCACGAATGTGTTTTCTCTGTGATAAGGTATTTTCAGTTCTGTAAGCCCAGGACCATGCACACTCAAGCCCAAACCTGTGAGCCAAGCTCTGGTTGCTCCTTCCATACTACTTAAGATGCTCTCTAAATAGAAATAACAATGGGGTAATCACACTTCTGTTCTTAGAATGTCGCTTTAATTGTTTCTCAGGGAGACTAGACAGGAAATCCAGGCTCACAGTGAAAAACAAACATCTGAAGAAGCAAATACTATTGCTTAACAATATATCTATGATGTCTGTCATTAATTGTGAAAATTTATCAAGTTACCCTTTCAGTTGTGAAAATACAGAAAAGTAAACACACACACACACACACACACACACACGAGGAATGAGAAAGTTAACATTTGTCATTCTTACTTGTGACTTTTTAAATAAACAAACATAACCTGACAGAATGGGTCTTGGGGAAGTTGTTTTTTAGAAAAGCCATTACTATCAGGAAAATAAATAAATAACAATTAAGATAAGTTATTTTACACTCTGTCCATCCAACAGCACCCATATTCTTCCTCCTCAGGGAATCACTGATATTCTCCTCAGAAAATATTAGCACCAATTCCCCTTGGCCGAGTTCCTTGCCAGACTGTTCAGTGAGAGAAGGCAACTGCTACTCTCCAGTGAGAGAAGCCGCTACTTGGGGAAAAGGGGTTAACTCTTGGAATACACAGAGGAAGAAAGCTCATCTGTAACACGCAGCACGTGTTTTTCACCCCATCTGCTACACGTGAGAGAGATGCAGAACCTCTGATGATCTAATGTAATCAGCTTCTCCTGTCACAATGCCTTAGGCTTCCTCCTGCAGTGGGTTGACTTGTGGACTTCCCAAAGATATGTCTACCCAAAACCCGTGATCGTGGTCTTATTTGGAAAACGGGTCTTTGTAGGTATAATTCAGGTAAAATTCTCAAGATGAAACCATCCTGGATTCACATGGACCCTACTTCCTTCACTTTTAAGAGAAGACCTTGTACAAGCACAGACCAAGGGCCGTGTGAAGACAGTGTCGTGACCACCAACTGGCAGTGACCACGGAACGCTGTGGATAGCTTGTCAAAACACGAGAAAAACATACACAGAGACAACCAGGTCCTGTGGGGAAATAGGGACGGAACGGCCACTCTCTCTAGTGGGGAGCGTCATGACTACCCTCCCTAGGGGAGAGTGCCCCTAAGGGAGAGCACCCCGTTCTCCCACCATAGCAGGCTTTTATTGGTTTCGTTTGTATAAGAATTCAGGTAAAGCTAATTACTCATTGCCAGGAAGAAAGGATCAAACAATAGATAACGAGGAAGTCTGAGGGCCTATTTTGAGTCAGGGTCAAAGAGCTGTAAAAAACTTTAAGGAACAAACTTACTTCTGCCCTGGACCCTTATCATTCAACTAAGAGCATTCTAAACAAAGCAGGTTTCACAAGATTTTACATATTCTTTCTTAGGCCTGATCACCTGGGGAACCCGCCCTTTCTAGCACAGGGCTGCACCACCCTCTGTCATTGTTTCAGCCTTAGGTGGAGCAAGGGAAGTAAGGCAGCCAAGAGATTAGGAGATTTTCTCACAGACAAAGAGAACTCAGGTTTTGTCAAAGCCGAGGGGCGAGGGTCCATCACTCCCTTTTGCTGTAGCCCCCAAAGTCCTTCCTTTGGGGCCTCCCACGTGATCGTGCCTGTCTTAAGTCATTCTCCCCTTGGGGAATCTTACCTGTCATTGGCTAACTGATCAATCACTGGGGGCCAGTTATGGATGAAGTAGCAGAAGCAGCACTCCTGCCAGGGAGATAAGCTTTTGTCTCCTTGGTGGCTTATGGTCCAAGGTCATTTCCTCAGCCTTAGCCTTGGCAGGGGGTTACAGCTTCTGAAACGAGGCAGGGCGGTTCCCAACAAGTTAGTGATCGGAGTTACACAGCCAAGGGACACCCAGGATGGCTGGCAGCTACCAGAAGCTAGGAGAGAGGTGTGAGACAGATTCTCCCTCACAGCCACCAAAGCAAAACAACGCTGCTGACACCTTGAGTTTGGATTTCTGACCTCCAGAACTGTGACAGAATAAACTTCTGTTGTTTTAAGCCACCCAGTGGGTGGTAATTTGTTACAGCAGTTCTAGGAAACTGCTACCGGAACCTCTTCCTCCTTCACTGGAGATGTACCAGAATCAATGTTGACAAAGCTTTCTCCTGTGATAAGTCCCCTAGAAGACCCACTTGTCCCAAAGTGAAAAGGGTTCTAAGAGAATCGTGGAGTAAGGGTACAGAGAAGGAAACCTATTGCCTGTGTAGTTTGAAATCCAGCTCTAAAATAAGAACTCTGGATTTTAATAGACACACAGAATTTTAGAGTCATCCTACACTGTCACTCTTAGATGCTACCCTAGCTCAAGCTGCTACATTCACTCATACAATACTTTTGAAAGTCTTCTTTTGTAACTGACCCGTATTAGTCAGCGTTCTCTAGAGCATCATCCTGATATGCCAAGGTTGTAGGTTCGATCCCTGGTAAGGACTCATACAAGAATCAACCAATGAATGCATCAATAAGTGGAACAACAAATCTCTCAATCTCTCTCTCCCTCTCTCTCTCCCTCTCCCTCCCTTCCTCTCTTTCTCTAAAATCAACAAATAAATTTTTTAAAAAAGAATGGGATCATGCAATTATGGAGGTTGGCAAGACCCATGATCTAGCACCTGCAAGTTGGAGACCCAGTAAAGCCTGTGGTGTAATTCAGTCTAAGTCTGAAGTTCCGACAACCAGGGAGCTGATGATACAGGTTCCAGTCCAGATCTAAGGCTTGAGCCCCAGGAGTGCAAAGGACAGAAGACTGATGTCCCAGCTCTGGTAATCAGGCAGAAAGGGCTGAATTCTTCCTTCCCCACTTTTTTGCTTTATTCGGGGCCTCAACAGATTGGAAAATGCCCACCCACACTGGAGAGGGGCAAACAGCTTCACTGAGTCCACTCACTCAAATACCAATTTCATCCAGAAATAACCTCACAGGCACACCCACAAATAACACTTAGCCAAATATCCAGGCACCCTGTGAACCTGTCAAATTGACACATAAA